CTCCTAATTAAAAAAGAGTAGCACATGGAAGAGGGTGGGAGGGGGATAGCGAGAGTGAAAATAAAGGGAAAAAGGGAAGATGATAAAATTCCTCTCTGGAGCTTGTGAAGCAGAGCTCAGTTATTTGCAGGAGTGCAGATTTCCCAGAATTTATGGGTGCCATATTTTTGGTTTACATTTAGATGATGTAATAATAACCCAATTGCAACTGAGGATGAAACAGTCACATGACCAGCAGTTTGTCACGAGTTCAAGAATTTCCTACGGTTCTCACCCGGTCCGAGAATGCAAACTGTGCTGCATGACTGCAAAACGATTGGCCTAGAAACTAAACTGCTCGAAAAATCATGTTTGTAGACTAGGCATTCAGAAAAACAATTTTGTTTAAGTCCCTCTTGCCAGTTTTTCTCCCCTCCTCTCTCCTGAAGGTATCCTGGCTCCTCTTTCCTTCGACTGGGCTGAAGATTTCATTTAAAAAGCAACTCGATGTGGTTAAGGCGGCTGTGATGCCGCCTTCAACACTGTCGACCACTCCATTCTCATACACCGCCTCTCCGCTTCACTCAGTCTTCACGGACCTGCCCTTGTCTGGTTCGATTCCTATCTCTCTCACCGTCTCCACTTTGTTTCCTCTGATGGTTTCTCCTCCAGCCCCCACACTATCACGTCTAGGCCCTCTCCTCTTTAATATCTATATGCTCCCCCTTAGTGACATCATCCGCAGACATGGGATCAACTTCCATATGTATGCGGATGACACCCAACTCTATCTTTCTGCCTCCACCCTCAACTCCAGAACCACTGCTGTCCTGACAGACCGCCTGTCGGACATCAAGTACTGGATGAGGGCAAACTTCCTACAGTTGAATGTGAACAAGACTGAGGCCCTCCTGATTGGTTCACACCAGCGCCTCTGCACCTCCGGCTCTGGCAACATCAACCTCCATGGTTGCACACTGCAACTCACTAAGCCAGTCAGGAACCTAGGGGTCTTGTTCGACTCTCAACTGCCCTTTCCCCCCCACATTCAAGCCATGACTCGCTCACCTCCTTAACATCGCCTTCAACCACTCTGCCCCCAATCTCTGGAATTCCAGCCCCCAGTCACTCCGCCTCGCCCCCTCCTTAGCCTCCTTCAAGTCCCACCTCAAAACCCTCCTCTTCGACCATGCCATCGGCCACTCCCCCTTCCCCTCCTCTCCCTTACCCCCCCAAACCCCAGCTTGGATCTGAAATGCTGTACTCTGTCCAGCGCCTTGGGACGTCCTCCCGACGTGAAAGGTGCTATACAACAACAACAACAAGGTTACATTTGTATAGCACCTTTCACATTGGGAGGACGCCCCAAGGCGCTGGACAGTTTACAGCATTACAAATACAAATGTAATGTTGTTGTTGTGATGGGAAGGTGGTAGATTGGGTGTTCTCAATGGATGGGATCAGATGGGCCGAAGGGCCTTTATTGGTTTGTAAACCTTGACTGTGAGGGTTTGCAACGATTATACTACAGGGAGCACAATCCGGACCTCACCACTATCCACAAGTGAGCACGGAGATCTCTGGGCACTTTATAAAAATCATGTATATTGGTTTTCACACAGATGTGTGGTTTTCCCCTAATATAACAACAAACTGCGCTTGATTCGCGTCCTTCAATTAGGATAACATCTCGGAGCATTGTAATACAATACAAAATGACATTTGTATAGTACCTTTCACATCGGGAGGACATCCACAGATTTGGACCCGAGCAGGGGAGGTGGGTTGGGGTAAGGGACAGTGGAGAACAGGGAGGGTGTCCAAAGGCACTGTCGCAAAGGAGGGTCTTATATATTACAATGATGCAAAGTATTGACTGGCGAATGTTAACAATTTTAGTTTTTAAATTACAAAAATGTATTTCAAACTGGTGGGAGGGAGGGAGGGAGGGAGGTGGAGAGTCGGTTTCTCTTTGTCTTTGGTATTTACAGTGGCAGTGTGACAGATCTTCGTGTAATATGTGTACCATTGGGATTTCACACACCAACCAGACCAACCATAATGTTAAACACAGATCAGCCTGGGTTTGTGCGGGTGTTGCTCTATTTAATTTGTCAGACTCTTGTACACCATTCGAGTGACCCCCTTGAAGCTGTCCTTGAGACATATGCTGGATCAGTGACAACTGTGTTGCAACATCGCATGCTCCTAGTCTCACTGCCAAATCACGTCAACAAACAACAATCCCGGGAGGTATTGATAGAAATGACAAATCTCGCAGGAGTATGAAATACAATAACCTGACCAGAGAAACCGGGCATTTATTCAACAAGGGGAGCCTCTGAGATCTGGAGTTCCATTGCTCAATTACATAAACTGAGTTTAGTCCTCATCTTTGGAGTTTCGTGTAAACGATCTGGTTCGGAGAGGAGATGGTGGAATGTATTTATCTTGTCAATTGAAGCGAGATGTTTCTGATCTGCGACATGTGGGCAACATATCCCAGCCACAATTTCTTTGAAATGAATCTCGCTGCTCCTTGCACATCAATCGAGGTAATTACAGGGACTAATCTGAGGTTACAACACCATTTTGCAACTGACTGTACAGGCCTCCAACTTCTTAATGTGCAAAACAGAGTCCTCTGCAGGATAAAGAGAATCACTACATTACCAAGAGCTTGCGGTGGAAAAGCAGGAGGGGAATTTGCTCCTCGTTAAAACCAATTCAGTACCTATGAGATTTGGTAATCTGAGGAGTGCTCTGTTTTGAGTCAGTTCGTTGGGCAAATGGGACACTGGCTTTAAAGGAGCTGCATATGCATTCACAATAACAATTTTACATTTAATTTGAACCTTTCACGTTGGGAGGAGTGTCTCAAAGTGCTCCCAGAATTCTTTGGGAGCCCGAGCTGGGAGTGGGGAGCTTAAGAAGGGGGGGATGGAGAGAAGAAGTGTCCGATCGTCATTATAACACCTTTCTCTGAGACCTAGTGCAGACTCGATGGACCGAATTGCCTCCTTCTGTACTGTAAATTTCTGTGATTCATTGTGATTTGCACACACACACACACGCGCGCACACTGCTTGTTTTGAATATACCAATGAATATGTGTGAAGATGACTAGCTGTGTGCAACTGGCCAAAAACAGGACTAGAACTGTATAGATTTCGGGCATCTGCAGGGCGTGGTGTTCCCTTGTGTGCCACGGTGATTTTATTGAATGATTTGCAGCGACAGTATTTTAAATGAATACATTCCAGTCGCTATATTCCTAAAACCGAGGCAGAGACACACGTGGAAATCACACGTCATTACTGTTTAACCTTGAAAGGTCACGGTTGGCCTAAAGCTCCAGGTTTGTATCTTGCTTTTGCTCAGCCAGGAGACAGGTCTTGAGTCTCGTGTTTCAGCTGCGCGAGTCCTCACAGATGCAAAGTTTCTGTTTGCTATTTCCAGAGCTTCGTCTCTCTCTCCACCCCCAACCCCCCCACCCCACCCCACAAGGGGATACACCCTGCTTTTCTCTGCCTGGAAAACACAAATGCATGATGGCAGAAACAAGATATTAAAAACCCCAACTTATGCACTGGACTAATTAAATCAATTAAAACATTGCAGCTTTCTCGCAACAAAAGGCACTGATTAGCTTCCTGTTACTTGGCCACCAGGACCACCTTTACCCTGTTGACGTGGAGTTACAACACACCACACACCCCTGCGTATTCCAGGAAATGACTCGTTTTACGTCATATTTGCTGCAGTTCCAGTCTCTGTTATTTCCTGAGGTTAACATCCCGAGGTTTATTCCCTTTCACTACAGAGGACAGCCATCCATTTAGTGTATCCGTTCGTCTTTCTCCGGAGGAATGCTAGTAATGTAGCCCAACATTGTGATTGTCTTAAAGCTGAATAAATGCCCATGATGGGCTGATAAGTCTGACCTGGTTCGTCCTTACTTTCACACTAGATGGTTTTGTGTCGATTGAAGGAAATCCTCAGCAGTTGCTTCTTTGCCACACTTATATTGTTTTGCTCCTGAGATCCCAAGGCATATACTCCAGCTTTAGTGATTGTATAATGGGGGGGAGCAGGGGGAGGGGAAGAGGGGCTAAATGGCTGCACTTTCAGCCACTACGCCCCGAAACTCTGGAACACTCTTCCCCTATCCCTTCGTCTTGCCCCTTCCTTCCCCATTTTCAGGTCGCACCTCAGGTCCTCTTCAACCATACCTACAGTCACCTCCCCCTCCACCTCCGCCCGGCTCGGAGTCATTCTCTGCCACTGTCAAGCACTCTGGGACACTACCCTGCATAAGAGGCGCTATACAAATCCAACTTGTTGTTGTCATTGTTGTTGTTGAATGGTAGGTTCATTATGGTGGGGCAATTGACTCTGTTTCCTGTTTCATGGTCAAGTACAGAGGAAAACTCAGCCCTCACTTTCACAACCACATTGGCAACCCCCCAAATCCCCGGGAGCAAACAGCCGTGTGATTGATTCCATTTCCCACATTGTTCGTGAACTCAAACATGTTGCCAATCCCGTGTTGCATTATGAGTGGTTACTGTACCCCTGTGGTATTAAACCAGGGATTGCTCTGCCCGGACAGTTTACAAGCAAGACCCGAGATCGTCTTAGGGGTGAATCGTTCCTTCTGTTGAGGGTCTTCACTGATGTGCTGTTGACAGTATATAGCCACTGCGTCGATCAGGAGCAGAATGCAAATTGGATTGTAAAACTTTTGTGACCAACAATTAACAAAGCTGCCAAATTAAACCCTGAACTGGAATGAGGCGACTGTGCAAGATACTTTGAAATAGGAAGGTATTTGTGCTGTTTTATATCAACATCAGATGACAACCTTGTAATAATAATTATCAACGTATAACCTTTTTTGACAAAAGTATACATTACTATATATCTAAGCACAACATTAGGACATTAAAACTGAGGTCCCATTTGCCTATTGTACTGGATTTTTAAGATCCAAAAGAGTTTTCCAGTTGTGTTCTGGTCAACAATCCTCCAAATTTATTGATCACTTATTCCAGGGTTGTTCACAGGACCTTTTGCATTTGTCTATAAAAACACTACACATCACTACACATGACAGTAATTACTTATGAAGCAATTAGACCTCTCAACATGATAAGTTGCTACATCAGATGAAAGTCCTTTATCACTGACGATTTCGAGGAGTCCACTGCTGCCCAGCTCTGCACCTTTTGAGCTCAGGTAGTATGAGGTGCAACAGTGGCTAAAACTACAAGTTAAACAGCAGTAATGATGGTATTTGCCTGTATTTCCCATCCATTATACATTAAACACACTAACTATTGGTAAGCAGTCTCTGTGCTGTACTCCAGAATCAACAGATGTGCAATCCTGGGGTAACCATTGGCTCCACAGGTACTAAATAATTCAGAATCAATTGTATTCTGCTCTAAATGTGTTTTCAGGGTTTTGTGAACACTTGAAAGGAGCCGGCTGTTTTTTTTTCAGGTTGCAGCATTGCACGTCACACAAATTCTAAATCAAGTTTGTTTCAAATGAGAGAAGATACTCTGTGCCCTGAAGCATCCCCTTCCCATCGTTGCTGTCTTAAAGTGCTAATGAGTGGTGATGGTAGGACAGATCCCAGTGGGTGAACTTAGATTAACAGTGGATGCCACTTTGCCACAGGCCGTCTCAAGCACTGCAGCATGGAGAGCCAATGATCATCTTCTCTCGATTTCTTCCTCCCCACATACGCTCGCCCGACAAGATGTCTCTCACCGTCCTTGGAGAAAGAGGTTTCATACACCGAGATTATAATCATGGAATGGTTGATGGCCGAGTCTCCCACAGTAAAAGAAATCACTTCATTAAACACAGTCATTGCAGACTTTGTCTTTGTGGATGTTTTCTGGTGCTTCTGTTTGCGCTGATTGACGTAGAAATCTATTCTTGTGTAGATACCTGAGGGAAAAGGAACACGGCGGGTCAAACTCAAAAGATTGCATTTTGGTGAGGATGTTGGTGGGGGGGGGGGGGGAATGGGGGAATACAACGTTTGTACCTGATTCCCATAGTTCAGCAAGTATTGTATCTATTACAAAATTTACTACAATTCCCCTCCAGGACAAGCAGTGAGTGAGTGACGCCTGTGATGGAGTAGGCTTTGTGTGGTCTTGTGGGGTTAATGAGTCCACAGGCTTTTATCTTGTTACTTGCTTTCTTATGTTTAACTAGTGGAAAGCAGGGGATTGCCATATTTTAAGACAACCTGACTCTGACTGCACAGGCTAGGATTAGATGAAATTTGTGGTCTTACATATGAACAACTCTGTCATCCACTGAGATCTTTTGATCCTTGTAAATCCCATTTCCTATCAATAGTCACTCTGACTCTGTTCCTGTCTGCCTCCCACATCCACCCTGTCCAATTTTTTTCTCCCTCATTTTCGTGAAACCTTTTTGTGTGCTTTAGTTCCTGGACTTTCTCAGTCATGGAGTCACAGTGCCCTCTGGTGTCTTCATGTCCCAGTACTGTACTTGAAACCCTTTTGTTCTGTCAATGGCCTTCTTCTTGGAGATAGATGTTCCTTGACTGTAGGTTTTGATTACAGTGTACAGTACCCATCAGAATGATTTTGGTGCTGTGCAGATGGTCAATGAATGTTTTATTTTGCACTGATTTGGGATGAATTGCTATTGAACACTGACTGAGCTCTGCAACCATTGAATTCAGTAACATAACCAGGCATTGGGCAAATCAATGGCACCCATACTGTGTGTATATTACTCCTATTTTTGTTTATAATTTGATAAATACACTGTGATTTACAGTCCAGTACCTGTCAAAAAGCCTTTGTTAAAGTCAATCATCAGTCAATGCCATGTTTTCATTTCTGAATAGCACACTGCTTATCATGCTCCCACTATTATCTAGTACTGTGCTATAATTTCTATCTTAAGATGAATCTCTCTTTCCTCTCGCTTTCTCTCTATGTTTTTCTCCATCTCTTTCACTGACCTGAACCCTGTAGTAATGGTAACGGTCTGAGTTCAATGCAACAACCAGCGCTTTGCATACCTATGTTCAGATTGCTGATCAAGCAGGCACTTTTCACCTTCAGCAGCCCAGCTTCAAGTCTCTGGGCTGTTGGAAGATATCTCAGAGACACAAGAATTTCTCCAACGGTGTCCTGAGGAGAGAAATATTACGCACGGGAGTTCAGTGCAAATAATAACAACAGAATCAAGCTCAACAACAAATCATTTCTTTGCGGTTTGTGGTCTATATCAGGAAATATGTGAAACTTTTAAAATATTAGATTTGAATATTCACCTAATTTTGGTGTTGGTTGTTTACCTCTCTGTTGAGTTTATTTACCATGAAATCAAAGGGATTGGTTGTGTGGTTGTGCATTTGCGCGAACAATCTCACCATGAACAGTGCACCGTGGTTTAGGGTATGCAAAGGCACCGCAGTACAGGTCAGACAGCTGCAGGTTTGAGTTGTGCTAGCTGATCTCAATCAGGTCAACTTGTGTGTGGACATTCAATGAGAATAGGATCTGCTCCTGCTGTGTTCCTTTCCCCTTTCCTCCTATCCTCCCCCCACCCACTCCATGGACTCTAACCTTCCAGGCTTACACAACAACAAATTACATTTGTATAGCGCCTTTCACGTCGGGAGGATGTCCCAACTTTCTTACGGGTTATGAATGGTCACGAAAAACGACCAGCATCCATGGAAATGTATTTTAGCAGAAGGAAAATGAATAATAATAATGTAATAATCCTTGCGTTTGATATATCACATCGTTGAGACGTCTCAAAGCGCTTCACAGAGTATACTGTAAAGTGAATTGACTGGATATTTTGTGGGCAAAACGTGGCAGCCAGTTGCGCACAGCAGTGTCCCACAAGCAGTCATGGATTTTAAAATAAAAATACAACTGAGCTATTTTCAGGAGAGAGATGTCTGGCAGGTAAGAAATTTGGAAGAGAAATTGGTCAAGAGAACAAATAAATAAAAGATGCTCAAAGAACAGCATCGCTTTTTCTACCTTTTGTGGCTTTTGTAATTCCTCACAGAATTTCAGCGTGTCTGATAAATTCAAGGCACTGAACGATGTCCTCACTTCCCCTAGAATGTCTCGCCGTGAATATTTGTCAACATTCCAGACCTGTTTTTTGTTTAAAAAAAACATTTACCCATAGTTATATTTGTTGCAAAAGTTCAGAGAGAAAAAAAGATCATTAAACGTCAACAAGAGCTGAGCACAGTGATGCCAGACTTTCTGTCTGGTGCTGCATTAGATATATTTTTAGTGGCCTCAAGGTATCTTTGTTCTCTGTTGATCAAGTAGTTTTAAACTGTTTTTAAGAAAGCAGCAAAACACTGATTGGTGTTGGCCCTCGTCTGCAACATTGAACATGGGAAATGTACAGGTTTGTAATTCAATACCTTCAGCATTGGAGAGCTGAGCAGATCAAGTGCCATGGGCTACCGTTGCCTTCCGTGAGTACCTGATCATCTCAACCCTCATCTATCCCGAGACTGGCTTATTTTTAAAGCTATTAATTGACATAGTATTATTTGTTTCTTGTCACGACTCGACAGAGAAAATGGAGAAAAGGGTAATGACGTCATCTAATCTCGTCTTGTAACGTGAGTCTGGATGGTAACAAAGAGATTTAAAGCCACCCGAACAAAAGCAACAACAACAACCTGCACTTGTGTAGCGCCCTCAACATAGGATAGCGTCTCAGAGCGCTTAAGGCAATCAGAACAACACCTCTAGTTTTAAAGTTGTTTTCCTGAGGACGTGCGTTTCAATAGAACAGGTGAACTGCTCTCCAAATGAAGGGTTTCTCGTGTTCTTCACAACCTTTGTGTTCCACTGGTGAAGTATGAACTGGTGTGTTGACTCTTCCGACTGCACACTGGACATGAGCTTTATTCGAACGAAAGGGTCAACACTCTGACTAACGATTCGACCAGGAAGGTCGGATGCTCCGGCTACCGTCAGGTGTAACTGTGCCTGTTTATTGTCGTATGAAAGAGAAAATGTAATCTTTCCCGCAACATAAACCATCGAGTCGGTAACCAGATTCCCCCTCTTCTGAATCCATCTCAGTTTATCGGTGGCATTGCTTTGAAGATAATAATTTAGCTTTTCCATACCTTCTTGCAGCTTCTGTGTCTGTGAAAACAAAAATGTGCGAAGTATTGCAATAAGACAATCATTCATACCCATAAGTTATTTAAAACTATCGAGTGGAAGAATAAATGGTAAGGAATCTTGCAATGTGCTTGCCTTGTAATCGTGTTTTCCTATACATAAATATTCCTCTTCATCAGATATGCTTAAGAAATCTATGGAGTTGCTGCTTGTTGATAAGCTGCTTTTTTCTGTATATTGTTTCTTCGGACCAGTCTCACCATCGTCCTTTTTTGCTGTAAATAGTTGTTATCAGTGATTATTAAAGCATATTTTTTTCCATAGCAGCAATATCTAAATCAACAATGTTTTTTTTAAAAAAAAGTCTCATATTTGTCCTGGAATCATAATCCTCCTCCTTCCAAATCTACCTCATGAATTTTACGTTAATTTTAACTAATCTTATTGTTATTTAAGTTAGGTATTTAACTGATGCAAATCAGCTGCTGTGTTTGTCTGCATAACGTTCACTTCATTTCTAATTATCCATTTTGTGTTGCACACAAATCATTTTTTATGAAGGGCGCTGTACTGTATAAGTGTAAATTGTTCATGTGGAAGCAAATAAATTCAAGCAAGATGAGAGTAATGTGAGATTCAAGGGGTGAAACGAATAATACATGTCAAATTTAAGACATGAGTGATTGTTGCCTGACTGCTGACTTTCAGTTGCACTGTAAAATAAAAACCTCACATACTTGTCATATTAACAGGGATCAATATTGGGAACCTCCCTGTGTCCTATTTAGCTTGCAAAGCTGACTCTAAGGCAATGAGCAATGTGAGCTAGCAGGGTTAGCACTGTAGCTGATTCCTACCGCTGCCTGAGCTAGATCTAAATCCCACCTCTGGAGGCAAAATCATCCTTTGCCGCAAGGTGAACGGCTTATACTGTGGACTCTGTTTTATGTCTTGCTAGGATGGGCTGAGGTATCAGACCAATTGGCCAACAATGTTGTTTCAACTTTGCTGTTCAATGGGGCCTTTCCCAGCGATTGTAACCAGGCTGCGGAAGGATAAGCAATGGCAAGAGGCACCATGGGGGAATGTTAAAGGAGAAAACCTAGATATATTGTCTCCACCGTTGAGTGGCCATTGTAGATATCTTCAGATAAGTTACCCTTGATGGAAACCACTTACGCATTCAATATACACCCGTATCTTCCTCAAGGTGTATATAGTGAATTGCAAGAAAACTTGCAGTTGGGACCTACCTTTCGTTCCTTTTCCAGTCTTGCGCTTGCAGTAAATGCAGATCTGCCAGCCTAGAATTACCATGGAAATTATAAACAAACTGGCTGCTGCAGCAAGGAGGCCATACTTCACTGGATTATTCAGATGGATGTTCATAAATTGGCTTCTGAATGTATTGGCCATTTCCCTCCTACTTCTGAAAGATAAAGCAGAATTATATCAGGAGTAGAATCTAGTAGTTTATAGATGACAAATGGAAAGAGCAAGTTTGATGGGCCAAAGTGACATTGAGGGTGCACATTGTAAATGATGAGTCCTTGCTCCTGATCAATGTTTGTCTTGCAGTGTGATCGACACTGAAGCAGATTTGTGTTTTGGTATTACTGTATGTAAATCTGCCTAATGGCCTACTTGTGATGAGAACAACAACAAATTGCATTTATTTTCAACAGCCTTTCATGTGGAGAGGATGGGAAACTCTGAGCATGAGATAACTGTCTACTCACTCTTCTAGGAGTAACGTTTTATACCCTTTGAATTGTGTTTCTACGTGTTTTTGTTTGTGAAGCAAAAGGTGCTATATATGTTGTTGTTGTGATTCGGCTTTTCCATTCAAAGTGCATCATAAGACCATAAGACGTAGAAGCAGGAGTTAGGCCATTCGGCCCCTCGAGCCAGCCCCGCCATTTCATAAGGTCACAGCTGATCTTCTAACCTAATTCCATTTACCCGCCCTATCCCCATATCCCTTAATCCCTCCATATAACATGTTTAGGGAACCCAGGAAATGGAGAATCCCATTGAAATGACTCCTGCTATTTATTAGATCTTGGTAGATCTGTCAATTCAAATGCCCAACCCTTTATATACCCTGACTGCCCAAGTGTTCGTCTACCTCTCTTTTAAACATCTCTTGGAAATTTCAATGGATGTCAACTGCAAAGCAATGTAATTATAAATCTTCAGCTGCAGTGCGTGCGGGAGGGGATTGAAGTTTATTCATATGCACAAAAGCATCTGTGTTACCGATGAAGCTGAAGCATTAAATATTAATCCAGTCGGGGTTAATCCAGCAACAAATAATGTTTGTGTAATTTTCTATTGAAAACTGACCTCTTTATCCTGCAATGTTCTTAATCCGTCAGAATTTCCTGACGAAAACTATGTCACCTCTTCAGTTTATGACTAGATGTACAACTATTGCTTACTCTGCGCATTTTATTCCCCCGCACAGCAGCCATGAAACGAAATTTGAGCAAAAGGGCCAATAAATGCTTCAGATCACCAGGTAGAGTGACACTCAATGTGGTGTAGTGCGGTGCGGGAGGGGAAAGTGTGTGCTGACTGGGGAAGAAGAGGTGTCAGATGTTTCGTGACACCAGGTGTTTCCCTAACACTGAAGGCCTGAAATTTCCGTCATCTCTGGTGCTGTAAGAGCTTCCACTTAGAATTCAATATTTAGCTGAATCATTTCTAAAACCTTTGAGTTTTGCTGAGATACATACAAGACCTTATTGCATGAAAGAACTTATTGATGGTTTTCCTGGAAACAGATGTATCAGTATTTGGTCATTTCGGTTCCAGGCACTAATTTCCTAGAAGGGAGCTAATGCAGACTTTCATTTTTGCAGGCCACATTGACCTCCTTTCTAGTTTATTTGCATTGCTTACGATCCAGTTTATTAAGGCTGTTCAGAATATTGCACTGATCTGGATTCTCCAGCAGCTTTAGATCCTGTGTACTAGTTTCTCTGCAGCTGCTACATATCAAACCAGTGATAAAGCACCTGCACTCTCAAGTACATCAGCTCAGCTCAAATACTGAATGCACAATGTAGTGTGTGCCACAATGTGGCACAGACAGGGTTTTCAGACAGATGTGATACACTGGAGTTATGAAATGGCTTTCTGTTCGATCAATTACAAGTACTGTTCCTCTTGCACCTGGTAAGAACTGTCACCGTGCCAAACATTAGCTTTTTGTAATGTCTTTTTCATGCAGGGAAGACTTGTACGGTATTCTCACATAATGTATAGTATTTTACCCCTTCCGGACTTTGAACTCATAGTCTAGGCTGACACTCTAACACAGTGTTCGGGGTGTGCTGCATTGTTGGAGGTGCAGTCCTTCGGATAACACGTTAAACCCGTTAGCCTGTTAAGGATCCCATGGCACTGTTCGAAAGGTGAAGGAAGCTTCTCCCGTGCCCTGGCCAACAATCCCCCAAATGAAATTGATTGTTCACTTCAAAGCTGTTTCTTGGATATTGCTGTGCTCATATTGATTGCTGTGTTTGCCTACAAAATACACAGTCACTATACATTATAGCAAATGCAGTAAAGCACTTTGAGATGTCCTCCCGATGTGAAAGGCGCAATATCAAATGTAAGGACTGTTATTATTAGTGGGAAGATGGTATGGATAGTGTCCAATTAAAAAGTAATTCCTAATTATTTAAAATAGTAAAAATAATCAAATAAGATTAATTTACAGTTAAGCTTTCTGATTTACAAAATTGATCCTTCTCACAAAATGTCCTTTCACATATACTTTAGTAAGTCACTACAAAGGGAATATTACACAACTATTGTAGCTATGTGTAACTCAGAACAAAGCTGTGCTTTCATGCCTACAGCAATTTAAACAGTGGTTACACAAAGATCTATCAAATAACAGTGAAATACAGAAAAACTGTTCTCCTACCACTTTCTCACCCCAACACATGTCTGATAACTGAATTCTATAATAATGAACAACTTGGACTATAGGGATCAATAAATATTTAAAAAGATAAAAATAGGAATTGTTTGAGGATTGGGTAATATTATAATGATCATTGCATTCGATTTAGCACCTTTCACTTTGGGATAAGCGGTCAAAACCCTTCACAGGATTTACTGTGAGGTGTGATGACTGTGTGCTTTGCAGGCAAATGTGGCAACCAATTTGGACACAGCAATGTCCCACAAACAGCCATGAAGTGAATGACCAATTGTATTTCTTAAAATAACACTGTTTGAAGAAAACAAAGATTGTATATCCCAACAAATAGGTTCCTTGTTAGAATATGTCAACAAACAAACAACAGTCCAAAACAAGATTAGTGCCTTTATGTGATCATTTTAACAGCAACAAAGGATTCCTTTCTTTATTGAAGCTCTGGTCATGTTTGGCAAAGATCCGGTTGTTATGTATCCATACGTTGCTTGCAGGTTTGTCTGGTTAAACTTCAACACAAAGATGTTTTAGAAAGTTGGTATTCAACATTATTTAACCCTTAAAGGGATATTGTCAATGTTTGCCTACAAAATATACAAACACAACTGCACTTTACAGTAAATCCTGTGAGGCACCTCGAGACATCCTCCCGCCGTGAAAGGCGCTGTATAACTATAAAAATTTTCAGTCATCAACTTTGATGGATCCCAAAATTGGGGGTGGAGGAGAGTGAAAAGAGGGCAGGAGAGCTTTCAGCACTTTGTCCCCATTCTCTGGAACTCTCTTCTGAAATCACTTTGCCTCACTCCCTCCTCTTCTGCTTTCAAAACCCATCTAAAAACCTCTGGTTAAACCTCTGCCTCTAACGGTTTCTCCTCCAGCCCCCGCACTATCACGTCTGGCGTCCCCCAGGGCTCTGTCCTTGGCCCTCTCCTCTTTAATATCTATATGCTCCCCCTTAGTGACATCATCCGCAGACATGGGATCAACTTCCATATGTATGCGGATGACACCCAACTCTATCTTTCTGCCTCCATCCTCAACTCCAGGACCACTGCTGTCCTGACAGACCGCCTGTCGGACATCAAGTCCTGGATGAGGGCAAACTTCCTACAGTTGAATGTGAACAAGACTGAGGCCCTCCTGATTGGTTCACACCAGCGCCTCTGCACCTCCGGCTCTGGCAACATCAACCTCCATGGTTGCACATTGCAACTCACCAGCCAGTCAGGAACCTAGGGGTCTTGTTCAACCCTCAACTGTCTTTTCTTCCCCACATCTAAGCCATGACCCGCTCTGTCTTCCCTCACCTCCGCAACATCGCCCGACTCCGCCATTACCTCACCCCTCAGGCCCTGAAACTCTTGTTCATGCATTCATCACCTCCAGGCTCGACTATGCCATCGCCCTGCTTGTCAACCTTCCCAAAACCTCCCTCCACAGGCTGCAGATTATCCAGAACTCTGCAGCCTTTGTCCTCTCCCGCACCAAACTCCGTGACCCCAACTCCCCCATTCTCGCTCAACTCCATTGGCTCCCTGTCCTTCAGAGGATCCAGTTCAAGATCCTGGTCCTCACCTACAAAACCCTCCATGGCCTCGCCACACCCTACCTCTGCGACCTCCTAATCCCCTACCAATCCGCCCGTTCCCTCTGCTCAGCCGGCTCCGGCCTGCTCCACGTCCCCCGATCCACCCGCCCCACCACTCAGCCACTCTGCCCCCAACCTCTGGAATTCCATCCCCCAATCACTCCGCCTCGCCCCCTCCTTAGCCTCCTTCAAGTCCCGCCTCAAAACCCTCCTCTTTGACCATGCCATCGGTCAACCCCTCTTCCCCCTGACCCCAGCTCGGGTCTGAAATGCTGTACACTGTCCAGCACCTTGGGACATCCTCCCAAAGTGAAAGGCGCTATACAAATGTAATCTTGTTGTTGTTGTTGTAAAACCTTCTCTATTTGCCCACCTCCTCCCTACCCTCAACTCGAGCTCTCAATGCATTTTTGGAAATACTTTGACATTCTCCTATGTGAAAGGCACTGCATAAATGAAGTTCTTTTTGTTGCCTGTATGATCTGTAAGGCTTGGTTTATTGACTGAAACCTCGATTCATGGAAAGAGAAAAGACTAAAAGTTTTGCACTGTTATCCCTGAAGGTTTGTTTCCATTGAAATCTAACAATCTAAATCAAATTTTGTCTTTAAAATGTAGTCTTTATTATACTTGTGGCATGCAGGCACTAGAAGTTTAGGCCTTGTGTAATCTAATGCACTACTTAGGTTATACAGGTCTACACTGGTCATTGCTCATTACTGTACACAGCTAATTTTGACATATATTTGGCAGAGAAGCAACAAACCACGTTTCAAAATGGCTTACCCAACATGGTGATGCAACATACATTGTATATGCAGTAGATGTTGTGGTGACTCCCAGAATGGAGCTACATTACACATTAAGGGTAATTAATGCGTAATGTGGCTCCCTTATTTCCCTTCAAATACACCACCAGCAACAACAACAACTTGCACTTATACAGTGCCCTTATACAGTACGCAGGGTAGCATCTCAGAGCGCTTTAACACCAGTAATTCAGAAATATTCCATTGTGCCGGTGACTTTTCTCTTCAACCGTGCCTTCAGCTCCCCTCTCAACTCTCTACCCCCTCCTCGCTCCCTCCCTTCCCTCCCCTCGCCCTGACCATTTCCCCCCACTGCTCGGGTCCCGACCCAACTGTCCAGTGCCTTGGGACGTCCTCCTGACGTGAAAGGCGCTCTATAAATGCAATCTTGTTGTTGTTGTTGACTAATACACATTCAACAGGTGTTTATAGCAATGAATACAATGACAATACAATAATTTGTGTACAGTAGTACATTGGGTTATACGAGTTCTCAAGTTCCAGTGTTGCTGATACCAGGAGCGAAATGAAGAGAAATCTGCAGCATCAGATTAAAGTAGTGATTGAACACGTGGACATACACAAGCTTTGCTAAGGCGTTCAATTATATGCTATAAGCCCATGAAGTGCAGATCAGCAGTTTGCTTCAGTGATTTCTTTCAAAGAAAAATAGATGAATTGTTTTCCACACCTTATTTTGTGTAGCTCGCATAATAGTTTACCTGTTGTGAAAAACAAACTAAGTGCCACATAGAAATATGATGCAGTCTTGTTTCAGGCTTGCAGCAGCTCTTTCAAAGATTAGTTTGGCTGTATATACAAGCAATAAAAGCATTTACAATCAAAATGTACATTTGGGAATATAAAAAGTCCATCCACTTTACCTGTAAGCGTTTACTCGAAGAAAGAAAGTTGCAAACTCTGCCTGATATTTTCAGTTGAGAATAGTAACAAATAGACTGAGTGAGGTTTCACCCAGCCTTGGTTAATATTTAAACTTTGCCCTTTTCTTACTTGACCCGCGAATGTGCTTCTATTCTAAATAAGAGCAAGTTCATAATGGGTATGAAAAAAAGGTTTGCGATGGGTTTTGCCACTTAAAAACTGAATGTTCAGGTTATTTGACTCCACTTTTCAGGTGATCAGGCAGTATGCAAATACTGTACACAGTGGAGGAAGTGCTGGCAATAACAATGCTAATGTGTTTTACCAGGATGAGTGGCCGAGCTCCAGGTTTTGTTTGTTTCTGAAAATTGATGTAGCACCAAGGTTAGGGTCCACATCACAGTGTTTCTTGGTAAATCCCCTCTGCCCGCCATCAAATGGACCGCTTTTTTCAGCCATTTAGCTGTGCCACATTAGAGGAATTGAGGCTTGAATAAGGGCAGCGATCATGATCCCTCTTAGGCTATACGATTCACTGAGTCGTGCACTCGTTTTGGGTATTTTCCAGCGCTCCTTCTGGTGAGTAACTAAACGAAGCTGAAGTTTTATTCAGTTGATTTTCTTCTAACCTTTTTCTTGCTTCATAGGTGTGGAGGCCCATAGTGTAGTGGTTAGCGTGCTTACTTTGCTGACGAGAGGACCCGGGTTCAATTCCTGGGTGGAGCTAAATCTTAGACAAATTTTCTTACTCCTCACGCCTCTGTTTACCTACTAGTAACTTGGAACCTGGTTGTTAGTCGATTGGTGGATCACTTTTCTGGGGGTCATAATCACACAAAACAAATAATTTGGTTCTTAAATCCATGACTGTTTGTGGGACACTACTGTGTGGAAATTTGTTGCCATAAGTATTTTAATGTTATTTTAATCAGTTTACCCCCTATTTTACATTCATCTTCTCTCTTTCAGAAGGCACATCGATTTTCTTTGCCGTGAGAAAGTGGGATGAACAATGCACCATTTTCGCCCCAATTACATCACTTGTAAGTTACTGGATATTGATTTACAATTTATGTCTAAATATTTTTTTTAGTTTAATAGAAAAAGATTGATCAAACTTTTTTTTAAAATATGAAGATAATACCCCTTTAAGAAACGTGGCATGAATAGTGTAGCCAGAGATCTCCTTCAGTACACATGCACAGAGCAAAGCAGCATGCATTACCCTGGTGAAAATGATGGATTTGGCTCGTTTCCATATACTGTACAATGCCCCCAAGTGCAGTGTTGCATAATGCATGGAAATGCTCGCAAAATCTGCAAACACCAAGCTGTGAAACACGAGCACGAAGACACTGGGAGGGAGAGAGAAAGAAGCAAAGAGATTCTCTCCACATCGAGCTCCTGATCTCTGCCATACTGTCACCCCACACTTCTCCCCTGAATTCATCTTTTGAATAAAACAAATACGTTTAAGCACTCTGCATACTAAGATGGACGTTTTGCAGCTCCGCAGGTTGCAGAGTTTACGCAACTCTGCCCTAGCAGAATGCCATAGGAATTGTTACTCTTTTGGGAAAATATGCAGCAGCTGCAATATGTAAGGGGGTTCAGGCCCGAAAAAGAGGGTTTGCAAAAAGCTAAATGAGATTGATCGAATAAATCTCGAGCAATCATTGCAGCTTTGCCAAGTGGGATGAGAGGGAACAGACTGGGAGCTGCGAAGGACAAGTTTAAGACCGATATCAGAAAACACTTCTTTTCACAGAGGGTAATGAACAGCTGGAACAGGTTACCAGGAAATATGGTCGATGTCCTAACACTGGATGTTTTTAAGAAACAGCTTATAAACAATAATAAATCCTTCCTTTTGATATAATGCCTTTCGTGCCAGGACGACGTCTCAAAATGCTTCACAGGATTTACTGTAAAGTGTAGTGACTTTGTAGTTTGAAAGCAGAGGTCTGCATCTTGATGCTGTAATGGGAAGATGGGAGGGTGGGTATTCTTGAAGGATGAGATCAAATGAACCGAAGGACTTCCTTCATTTCTTTCTTGTGTGATCTTATGATGTGATCATGATTTATACCTTGAGTTGCTTGACTGGAGGAGGAAGGCAGGGAACAGAATGAATGCAACTTCAAAGAATGAGAAAAGCAATTTAGATCAAATAAGTTAATATCAAAAATGTTGTGAGGAAAGATGAGATTTAATATGTGCACTTAAGCAATTTTAAAATAACTGCCAGAAATGCTCTTAAAACGATAACCAATATCATGGAAGAAGAGTTTGCAGTGATCTGGTGAAGACTAGATTTGGTAATCAGATGAGGCATCTGGACTTTAATCTTTCCTTAGCAACTGTGAGATTCCCTTTAATGGTGTAATTTTGCGTTCGAAGCATCCACACCAATCCATTGTTAGGGCTGCAATCTCACACCACATTAAAAGGACTGTGCCCTCCTTTGATGATATATATGAGCTCCATTTCAAATCTGCTAAATTAGTGAACACCGCCATTCATTCCATTAACCCCGTGTTTCCTTTAAAATTTCTGTAATGTTCGCATCTTCGAACTGAACTTGGAGTCCTGTAGCAATGGTTGGAGCACTCGCCTCACAAGTGAGAGGACCTGGGTTTGATTCACTGGCAGGGCAAAACGTTGGGCAAGTTTCCTCACACCACAAGCCTCTGTTTACCTAGCAGTAAGTAGGAACCCGGTTGTGAGTCGATTGGCGGATTGCTTTTCTGGGGTTAATCCCTTAACAATATATATTTTTTAAATAAAAAAAATTATAATTTGGTCGTTCTATTGACCGCCTCATTTCGCCCACAAAATATACAATCAAATTACTTTACAGTATATTCAATGAAGCTCTTTAAGACATCTCGAAGACGTGTTAAGGCGCTATATCAAATGCAAGGATTATTATTATCTGATTATTATAACTTGGAAATAAGGAACCCTATGCATGATGCAGAATTCTAACACATCATTTGTTTTCAGAACTTGTCTGTTGTTCAAACAAAATTGATGGACTGTACAATAAAATATTTCCAGCTCAGGGAAAACTCTGTTTGGAAGCTGAATGAACAACAGCCAAAAAAAAAGCTGTGGTTTGTCTGGGTTGGACTAAAAGCTCTTCTGTGCTATTCTGGAGCAAAAAACAGCTAAGAATAGGACAGTACAGTTGTAATTTACAGACCACAGGGATTGGCCAATGTAGAGACAAAAGTTCCCGAACCAATTAAATCAGCGTCCAATTCCAGGACAAATGATTCCAGGGCTAGTCTGCCTAATTGCCAAGAAATGTTTAAGCTTGAAACGGTTAACGTATCTTCATATTGCCACCAAGTAAAACAGACTAGCAGCAAAATGCCACAAAGAGGAAGGAATTTTCATGAAATCTCATTCAGTCTCCATTCTTTGTGGAGGCCAAATGAGATTTGCATCTGAATGACTTTCTGCACATCTTACATCGTGAATTAATAATCTGATTTGAGGGGGGGGGTTACAGTATTTTGAAACGTGTTTGCCGTTCTTACCTCCCCAATTTCTAGTTTAAACTATTCCTTACATGGCAATATAGCTGCTTCCTCACATATTATTACACGATTGTTAGTTGCTGCTGTAACAAAAAAAGACAATTGCCAGTTGTGTATATTCAGGGTTGCCTGTTTTCGAGTAAAACAATCTTGGCAGGTATTTTTTTCAATATTTAGCAAGCTTTCTGCCTGTAAAAATTGTCCATTTCCAGGTCATAAGGTTGCCACTGACTGTGAACAATGAACTGAGGTTTGCCACTAAGCCGAAAACAGTTGCGGAGGTAAATCATGTGTATTAAATCGAAAAGTAAAATATATTCCTTATTGTCTATCCCCAGCACAGTACATCCTGATTTATCTTCCTGAACAGTGTTTTTTGGTACTGTATTATATTATATTAAGTCACTGTCATTTGAACGGTGTCACTGAATATACAGTATTGTAAGTTTGCAATGTTTTCTCCTGTGCTTAGAGCACCCTCTCGTGGACCTTTATGTACTGTACAACAGCTCCGATTGATTTGCAGGTACAGTGCAAAGGTTCACTTGTGCAAAAGTTATCAGATGAGGCAACACGAAGCCATCTCTCCAGAGACCGTAGAGTTTTCCAGGGCTACCAGGCATTCTCCAATTGGGTGCCTTGTTTGTCAACAAATACACAGTCACTCCACTTCACAGTGAATCCTGTGAAGCGCTTTGAGACATCTTGACGACTTGAAAAACGCTATATCTAATGCAAGGGTTATTATTTATTATTATTGCTCTCCAGCTCCTGACCGGGGAATTTTATTTTGGAATCAACAACCTCATTAACACATGCAAGTAAGGAACATTTCACACATCATTCTTTTCAATATTAAACCACACCTTTCTGCACATTAGGTAATACCAAGTAATTTAAAAAAATCCCATTCATATATTCCCAGCACAATACAGATCAGATCCCAGCATAGATCAGTGTCTCATTTTTATCCAGCTCCGTAGAAAAGGAAATCCCACCACTAAGGTATCCCTTTTTTGAATGGCTAAAAAGAATGATCATAAAACCATGTTTTTTTTCATTACAACAATCCAAAAATGCTAACGTTAAAAATTGTTCGTGACATCATTGGGGAAAGAGATGTATAAAGGTTACCTGGCCAATTTTATTTGTTAATGAATTAGCACGCACAGTGATGCTAAATCATACCCAGGTTTATGACTATTATTTCTATGAATGATGATTCAGTCCTCTAATCACCTCCATTATTACCTCCTGCCAGTTACCCTCAATAGTATCATGAGAACTCAGTTTTCGTTAAGAAAATCAGACAACTGACAAGAATAAAAACAAAAAGATGTTCCGTTCATCACAATTTGCTAAGCACTAGACGTTTCAATTTCCTCTTTGCCCTTTAAAGCAATGAGGTTCCATTGAGCAGGAGGTTTTGTAGATTTAGGGTTGGCAGATTGCAACCGTCACTAACATTTTCAGTGCACACGCCCTCATGTGTAATCTACTGTGTTTGTTGCTCCTCTAATTAGCAGAGGAACCTA